TACTTTTCAGTACAGATTTTTATTGATAACTAAGAATTAAAATAATCCCTTATCAACATCAGACATATCTGTCAGTTAACAACTTTAGCTAATAAACTACGCTGAAATATTTTAAGGTGACTTGAAGTAAGATAGCTGGCTTGAAAAGTAGTCATTTCATGCAATTCCAAGGGTAAACTATATTTAGTATAAGAACGATCATGAACAATATTTGAACTAGTTTACCAGTTTCTTGAGTGAATCATGGAAGGGCGACTGAAAAAAGTATGTTACATAACTAAACTATTCATATTCAATAGGATTTTAGTGCAAAATCTGTTTTTATCAAAAATGTAATCAAAGAAACAGAAAATGTACTATATGCATAAGAACTGTAAGTAACAGAGATATAAAATCATGACTGTATTGTGATTACAGCAAGATCAGTTGACTGTGTAGCACCGATCATTTTTCGATTTATAATGTTTACTGCTATTCTGTGAATAAAAGAAGAGGCTTTATTCTCCCACGAAATGGATAAAATTATCCTCATTTCAATGAATTGTATATTTATCCACAGGTTTCATTCAGAATCGAAAAATATTTTTGCTGTAAGAGTATATCTTAACGTAATCCCGGTGTGTTTAGAAAATAAAAACGAGTTTCGCCTGGAGGTTTCGCTCTGTCAGCCATAGATTCTTCAGTAGAATATTCACACTTTATATTAATACCACGGTATATGGTGAAATTGAACACCAAATATTTTGTGTATGCAAGCTAATGGTTTGTAGTTCAGACTGAGTTTGTCAGCGAAACACCTATGGGCAGTCGAAGTATGTATGTGCATGTATATTGTATAATATGTGCGTTATTTCCTGTACATGTAAGTGATGAACAATCCGTAATTGTGATCTTTCCAGATGGACAGAAATTGAAGAACCATTTGAAACACGAAAGCACTAGGGAGCTATTTCGTCCTAGTATGAAACCCCTCAACAGTGCTCAACCACGCAACAGCTGTCCAGTGCTTCCAGGTTTTCAATGGTTCCCCAACTGACGTCAATCCATTTTGAATACTATACTGAAATAAATAAACCCACCATAAACTTCAGACTAAGTCCATAACTGTCACTGTCACTGAAGTTGTAATCAGAAAAGGTCGTAATGAATTGTTTTGTCAGATTAATGTTTACCAAATAAATGAGAAATCCATTCAGTCTCTTCTCCTCCCGGCATCTGACCTTGTTAAAAGATGTAGCGCTTCTGAGGATAATCTTTCTTTGTTTGAACAGAAGACTTCTTTACATAACCTGTGTTCATTCACCCTAACTTTGAAGAGTTTATTAATGTCTCCAATATAATTACGCTTTAAGATAGGAAAACTTGTTCACTTTAACTAAATTGTTTCCATTTTGGAAAATCTGAAGGGATACTGAATTCATCTTGCTTAAACAAGTGCAAATAAATCAAGATCATAACATTCATTACAGCAGACAAATAAAGATAACATAAATTAGAGGCAGGTCGGTGAAGAATAAATCCAAAATTACGGTAACGTATTAGTTTCTGAAAATTGTTATAATAAGATAAAACGTCATCCAAATTCACCGCTGAACTACAAAATATAACTGCTGATTGTCAGTGCTGTTCAAATAGGTTTAAAGCTGAAAAAGTACAACCACTAAAGAAATAAAATCTGTTATGCAAAACGATATATTAATTACATTTTATTCGCAGTCAGAAAAACTTCATAACCGCAGGTTTTTGAGATAGATTAACCAAACTCTATCTTTCTTGAAGTGATGTGAACAGTTTTTATTCTCAGTGCTTTCATTGCTTAATAAATACAAGACGATTAAGATTAGTGCAACTAAAAAACATTTTATGCAGAAATAACGACTATTGGAGCAGTACACCTTGGATCCACATTATCGTCATAGTTTCTCCACAGCCGGAAACGTTTGAAAATCAAATAACGTGGGAATCTGCCCTAACACTTAACAGCTAAATAAAGCCAGATAGCAGGAAGTGATAGTATCAGTAAAAGTATCTGGATGAATTTTTAAAAATGCTAAGAGGTTCCAGTTATATGAATTCCTTTAACACAGGCAGCATTTTCCTACATCATACATGCACTATCGTAAGAAAGATAAAGAAATGTGACGCAAATACTTACCCAATCCCTATTAACGATATTTCATCCCTGCGTGCATTTCATTCCAGGTATAACACTGCATGAGGAGAAGTAATTTGTCAAATGCTTCAACACCACAAAATACCGCAACATTTATCAATCTCATTCAACAAATATACGAAGATGCCACATGACAAGCATTTCACAATGGAAAGATCAGTGATGACTTTGAAGTGAAGATAGGAGACAGCAGTAAGAGAAGACTGTCTACTATCACTCACCATCTTCCTGATTGTGGTCGACTGGATCATACAACAAACAGTGAGGAGAGAGAAGAGGAGGATACGCTGGCTGGACCACGGAAAACAGCCTAGAAGATTTGGATTTCGCACATGATGATGATTCATGTCTGATGTCTTGTTGCACAAACTCGAAGATCTACAGGGGAAAACTAACAAGTTGACAGAAGGGGCAGAGCAGTGAAGGCGGGACTTGAAGTGAAGGAAGAGAAGAGAGACGATGATGATGATACACAACCAACACCACCAACACCACCGCCAACAAGAACAAAAAGAAGAAGCTGCAATCACCATGAACGGGAGAAACTTGAAGGAAGTAGTCTCTTCCACCTATCTGGACAGTGCAGCATCGTTCCAAATGCAGGCGGCAGCGGCACTGACACAGACGAGGATGTCAAAGCCAGACAGGATCGGAAAGACAGCAAGACAGGCGTTTATTAACCTGAAACTAGTGTGCAGTTCTTCCACACTGGACTGCACTCCACTGCACTTCACTACACTGCACAACACTCAGCATAAAGCGTGAACAGGATGCGAATTTCCAACACAAATTCAGTCGAGTGAGTCAGTGCTTCTATGTGATGGTTGAGAGAGTTGGCGCGTTACGAGAGGCATTTGCAACAAACTACAGATATTCATCGAAGACAGCCTAATCTGGCTGCTTACTGAATCTCAGATGGGCAGAACAATTGGAATAAGCAACAAGGAACTGTGGCTGGCTGGCTGGCTGGCTGGCTGGCTGGCTGGCTGGCTGGCTGGCTGGCTGGCTGGCTGGCTGGCTGGCGACTAACCAAGCAAGCAGCTATCGTTTAACAAATATGTCCTGGAAGGGAGTGGAGATGGATTGGACATGCAGTGAGAAGAACGATTGGGGACATCATGCGTCAGGCACTCGAGTGGAATCCAGATGGGTGACGACGAGTTCGGCGTCCGAGATGAGGGTGATAAGGAGGAGATCGTGTGAGGAAGAAATAAGAGATTGTGGGTAGTGGTGACGCCAAGTTGAGAAGATTGCAGGGAAGATAACGGAATGGAGACGTGTGACTGAATGCCTATGTTTCACCAAGAACCCAATGGACACGTAATAATAATGATAACAGAGAACCCTTGTTGGCATAATGTTTTGATTCAGTTTTGTTTAGTTTACTGGTTACTTCAACCAGTTACTCCTACAATTTCTGAAATATTTTGTTGAAATTTTCTCTAAACAACTTATTGAAATTCAAATACAGGATGCCAATTTCAAATAGTTTTCAAACTGAGAAGACTCATTTCACCACCTCTAAATGCAATGTGATTAAATATATGCTCACATATATTCTTCCATTCTCACAATTTTTTGGACAGTTCTGTATGACAACCATCAAATTCATAGCCATAAATGATGAGGATAATAAGCAATAACTCTGTTGCCATCTGTTTCTGTTTACCTAGAAGTTTGGATCGATATGGTGTTTTGCAAGCTGTTATTAAATATATCATTCATATATTCTTTGGCATACACTTTCGAGTCAAATAGAAACTGAGACTTGTGGGCTTACACTTTATAACGAGATGGTAAATTATGTCCTTATAGAGCGACATATACCTTAACACTTTCTCTGATAACCGTCATGCTTAAATGGCAAAGTAAGCCTATTTCAGAAAATAAATTCATTCCCCTATAGTGAATGTGGTAGTGAAAACTGAGTCACTGAAAATAAAGCGTTAACCATGATGCTGACCAATACAAGTTTTAGTTTCTAGTTGAGTACGTCATTAGATTACTATGTTTGTTGACTACGGTTGAATACGTGGAGCCAGCTTTATAGTCGTTCGATGTTGTTTCTTTCTAGTCTGTGTGTGTTATATATCCTGGCAATTCCCATTTTTTATCAACAAGATAAAGCTTTTTCATTAAAATCTGTGATGTTCATTGAATGAAACGCTACAGAGACGAAATACATAATATTTAAATATCCCAATAGTTGGATAATACATCTGAGAATACAGTAGTTTTGTTAGTGAAGCAACTTAAATATTGAGTAGTTGAATGTTCTATGAGAGGTGATATTCTGGGCATCGTTAAATCAGCAGAATAAATGTATTTACTACATTGATTGGTCCCTGGAGTAAATCAAATTACAAGTTATGTAGTTGTCAGTGTCAACCGAACTCTATCGATTACTCTGAAGTGTAGACACTAATGCTTACCAAATGCGGTACATTTTGTTAGATATACGCAGGTAGCTCTTCTAATTACATTCAATCAACTGTAACTTTTTACGTCACCTGAACACTTAAAGAGTACAACAAAATTATCAATAAAATTCAACAGATTTCCTTATCCATCTGAAAATATTTGGTTAGGTACTTTATTTAGAGATCTATATCACCTGTGATTCAGACATGATCAAAGCGTATCACAAATATGCATGATTAGTGGATTACCAATACAAATACTCCCATAATACGGAAACCGGTATTCATCATAAAATTTCTACATTTATGCTTTAAAAAACTAAGTACACGAAACAAAAATGTACAAAAAAAGGGAATATTCCAAACCTGAAGATAATAAGCTGTCATAGAATAATAAATGTAACATTTTACGCAAATATAACGAAACTGACAAGTGTGATACAAACGGTTGACAATAGTCCACTGTAAAAATATTTTCCAGCAGTGTTCACTGATTCACCTTCATTGAATTTATCGAAGACTACTTCTAATTTATCGGTGAAGTTTCCAAGCGTTTCGTTTAGCCTTTTAAGAATCTCTTCTTCAGTTGCATTAAGAAATGTTTCACCCCAATTAGTAAAGTTATCAAAGAAGTGATCATTATTGGTGGATGGAGTTTCAAAACCATTATCATTAGTGGTTGTAGTACTATGTTTAGTACTAGTCATTGAGGAACTGATATTTCCTTCCGAATTCGTTGATTGTGATGTCACCAAATAAACTGGAATACAGAAAAAGAAAAGTCTCCAAGCCATTAGAGTGTTAGTTGAAATAATACTAATTTAACTGAATCTAAATAAACCAATTTCCTTTACATTTATATACCCTGACGTTCTCATATTTATCTGCAATGTTTTGATAGATATTTTTAAACTGACATTTGATAGCTAAATTGTGAGCATTATTGTTAGGTGTAATAAAGTTTGAATGTCTGGTCAAAGTGATAAACATGTTTTGCTTTGTATTTCCAGTTCAATTGTTACTTTTTTATTTATTTCAAAGAAAAGAAAAAAAACACATCTACAATGAAAATTGAACAAGTCTACTTTCATTGTTTTAACACGTCTTATGTATCTGTGGCACAATTTTATAATATCCTACCATTCTCAGATTCAATTTTAAAAAAATGAATAACTTGGTTCCTTAGTGCTAAGTAACTTTGTAAGTCTATGCGTACTCAACTACGCTTATTCGGTGTACATTAAAGTATTTTCCAAGTATACAGAACTAAATCGAATGTTTTGTATAGTTTCACTTGGTATATGTTATGTGTATAAGAACGGATGAGCGACTTCATTTGATTTTACGAGTCATTTCAACTGCAACATGCGTACGATAGAGAAAATTCGTCGATTGATTCCATTTTAGTCTCCTTATTAGAAATATAGCATAGTGAAGTGGTACTAATTACAGGTCAGCTTACGGACATAATTTATTGGCCATATTCATATCAGGTTGGTAGTCAATCCTCTACCTAAACTTCGTCGACTTTGAAAAGACCTTCGACAGAGTTCAACGAGAAGTATTTGGCAAGTGCTTCAATACCACAAAACACCACAACTTTTCATCAACCTCATTCAACAAATATACGAAGATGCCACATGACAAGCATTTCACAATGGAAAGATCAGTGATGAATTTGAAGTGAAGACAAAAGACAGGAGTAAGAGAAGACTATCTACTATCACTCACTATCTGCCTGATTGTGATCGACTGGATCATACAACAAACAGTGAGGAGAGAGAAGAGGAGGGTACGCTGGCTGGACCACGGAAAACAGCCTAGAAGATTTGGATTTCGCCCATGATGATGATTTGTGTCTGATGTCTTGTTGCACAAACTCGAAGATCTACAGGGGAAAACTAACAAGTTGACAGAAGGGGCAGAGCAGTGAAGGCGGGACTTGAAGTGAAGGAAGAGAAGAGAGACATGATGATGATGATACACAACCAACACCACCAACACCACCGCCAACAAGAACAAAAAGAAGAAGCTGCAATCACCATGAACCACACTGGTTTCGTGTTAATGAACGTCTGTCTTGCTGTCTTTCCGATCCTGTCTAGATTTGACATCCTCGTCTGTGTCTGTGCCGCTGCCGCCTGTATTTGAAACGATCATGGTCTGCCTAGATAGGTGGAAGAGACTACTTCCTTCAAGTTTCTCCCGTTCATGGTGATTGCAGCTTCTTCTTCTTGTTCTTGTTGGCGGTGGTGCTGGTGGTGTTGGTGTTGGTGGTGTTGGTTGTGTATCATCATCACCTCTCTCTTATCTACGGTCACTTCAAGTCCCGCCTTCACTGCTCTGCCCCTTCTGTCAACTTGTTAGTTTTCCCCTGTAGATCTTCGAGTTTGTGCAACAAGACATCAGACACGAATCATCATCATGGGCGAAATCCAAATCTTCTAGGCTGTTTTCCGTGGTCCAGCCAGCGTATCCTTCTCTTCTCTCTCCTCACTGTTTGTTGTATGATCCAGTCGACCGCAATCAGGAAGATGGTGAGTGATAGTAGACAGTCTTCTCTTACTCCTGTCTCCTGTCTTCATTTCAAATTCATCACTGAGCTTTCCATTGTGAAATACTTGTCATGTGGCGTCTTCATACTGTTGTTGAATTGTTCTTAACGCTTTCACGGCAAGGATTAGCATTACAGTGCTAACACGAATTCTAATCTCATTGTTTTGGAAAGCAAATCCTGAGTTGTTACTTATCCTTCTTTTTATGTGTGTTCATTTTTTTCATGGAAGATATGTGAAACTCACTGTAAGTAGCAGCTTATATGTTTTCTGTAACATAAATCTGTATCATTTTTCAAATGAAGTTTGCATAATTCTTAAAGAGTGATATAATTGAATGCAGTGCCGAATAGACCAACCTTCTTTTGCCATTCAAACACTCATATGTGGTGAAATTTCCTGCTGGAACGAAGTGCCAATTTATTTCTGTGGCTGCCAATCTCACTGCTTACAACAAACGGCTTGTTTGTTGTAGTTATCGAATTAGACAAAATTTTACTTCATATGACTTCTAACTGCACTTACCAATTTTGATTTACACATATGTTAAAAATAGAGGAGGCTTTTGTTTACATTTCTAAGCAAGTCTCTATAACTCATGGATTAAACTGTCCACATGCTATGAATGCCTGTTTGATTGGTCGTTAATAGACCCAGCGTACGGCCTCAAACCTTTCACAACTATCAGAAGGCCAAAGAACTTAAGCCTATTACATTTTGCGAAAACAAGAGATATCGAAAAACAACGTGAAATACCACCAGCAACGGTAGAACTACCACTGAACACATGCCCTCCGACAAGCGCAGAAGTCATGAATGTCGCAAAACTGCTGAAATTCGGTATAGCAGCAGGACTAGACAGAATTCCTTCAGAAGCAATGAAAACGGCTGAGACAACAGAAGACATGCTCACACCACTACTGTAGAAGGTTTGGAAGGAAGGAATGATACCTGTAGATAATAATAATGGAAAAATTTGGTCTAAATCTATGTATTCAAATGGATAAAATTGTCAAACTTACATTTCTCTGGTGATTAGTATGCAATGAAATGATTGCAGGTTTTTCATCAAGTCATTCTACTTTTCGTTTTTTCCTGTTTCAAACCATAATTGATACCTTAATATCTTCAAGATTTTCTAAGTTCAGGACATTTTCGGAAGTTATGAAATCTAAGATAATTATTTCAGTTTCTAGTCATTTATTATGTCTATTCACCTCAAAACCTCCTCTTTCAGGAATATTCATCTAACAACCCAGTAGAAGTCAGTTTCCCTCTCGCATACCTGATGATCTTCTCTACCTTGACTATTCATCATTTATGTTGTCAGTAGACCTTACCAATAACTTCTTATCAGTTTGATAAAAGTTTCCTCAGCTATGTAATGTACGCATTTTGATGTTATCTAAGTTTTAAGTACTTGAGAAGAATTCTAAAAGTAATAAAAAATTGGCTCACATTACCCTGTTACACTTTTGTTCTGGTTTTCCTACTTATTTACTGGAAGATTAATTTCAAAGCTTATGCTAGAAATCATTAAGAAGGACTTTCGACTCCTGCTTATCGTTCACGTCCAACTCTGAGAGTGTTGCACCAATATTTTTGTGAAAGTATACTTAAGCGTCGTCTTTCCAACCTTACACAATACAGCATACTATATACACCAGCTGCAGTCTGAATGTAACAATATTTACATATATATATATATATATATATATATATATATATATATATATATTATTTGAGCTAAAGATAAAAGAAATAAGAGAGTTACAACTGAACTAATATTCTCGACTTTATAATGAGTTTTCTGAGTGATAAACCTCAACTTCTATGTTACCTTAACAAGCTTAAAACCAGTTTAAAGAAATTCTCATAAGTGGACTCCTCATTTGTTGATCCTAATCAGACGAAAGTAGCCATCACTGCAAAGAGACCTATATGTAAATGAAAGTTGAAGCCTATATTCCATAGAACCATGGTCAGAAGGTTCATTGCCAATGGTCGGGAATCAGAAGAAAGTGGAGAACACTACTGCACCAAAGAGAAAGTGTTTCTTCTCAACAAACTCATTCATCTGACAGTGCGTAGGTGAATAAACTATGGAAGAGATTAAAAATCCCACTTTGATTTCTAGTTAGACGACAAAATACCCTGGATAATGAAAAGGGAGTCAAATAGTATATACAGATTTCGAATTGGAAGATAAACAAACGACTATATAAAAAATTTAATTACTTCGTAGGGCAATTATCCGAAATAATCTATCATAATGGCCATAATAAACACGTAGGTTGTACACACTCCTGCTAAGTTGACAATGATGGTTTCAGCTTTTCAACTGCTAATGTTTTACCTATCCCCAGATGTCAAACTCTCACTCCTTTCAGATGAATCAGTCAAAACTTATGAAGTTTTGAAGTATTTATCAAAAGGAGCCAAGTGTTTCGCAGCATGGCTAGGTATGCATTCCCATCCTCTTTCTGCCAACCAGGTTGCATAGCTCCAACCTGCATGTTTTGAAGGTTGGTGTACAAAACGATACATGTACTCTTCTCCATAAAAGTCTAGTAATCCACAGTCCAGTAAATATTGAAGGTTTTATAACTGTCTGTGTCATAAAATTAAGTTAGTCTTGCAATGAAAAAAAGAAGGCATTTCTTTTAGAATTACTTCAGCATCAATTGTTCAGAATAAATTTGATTTGATTATACAAACTGTAACTAAGTGTATTCATTTCAGTCTACTCATATTCCGTGGATTGGTAATGCAATGCAAGTGTATATCGCTTATTTCCTTTACGTGCTTTTGATATCGAAACTGGTTCTTGTGTTGAGACATGAGTCTGTCTAAGTACGTTGTTGATCTTACCACCACAATTATTCCACTCAGCATGACGACGATTAAAAGTAGTCGGCGGTAAAATTTACCATTTCGTCATGAAAACAAGGGCTAGTTCTGAGGCTGTAAAATTTATTTTGTAAAATTTGTGTTCTCTGAGTGACGACAAATAGATTAAAGCAAAAGTGTACCACAACAGTTTCACAACATGAACAAATTTTTCAAGTAGCAAGATGTACCTAAATGTAAGTTATTTTAAAGTACCTAACTTCCCGCCTTTGAAACACCCATTCAGCTGTTTGGTTATAATTTAGTATAATAAAAGGTGATAACAACTTAACGCATAAAATACATGTCATCCTGGCTCTTCCCCTTTGCGGATGAATGTTCATATGTTTGAACTCAGTGAGGTGCATGTTTTCCTTACAAAACTTAGAAATGAATACTAGAAGCTGATTTGTGAATGTATTCCACTGCAATACAATGATCGGTAACCAGCCTCAAGTATATTCTTTTTATTATTCTGCTCGACAATTGTTTTTGTATTTGTGTTTCTCAATGAATGTACATAAATAGGTAGAAACAAAGAGGAAA